CAACAATGAGCAGAGTAGACTGAGATGGCATTTTACAAATGTGTTTTCCTTTTGGGCAAAGCTGAAGTCAGTAAAACCATCTGAATTGTAAATAACATATAAGGAGTCCCTACTAATCTCAATTGAAAGCCTCAGAAAGATCGAGAAACAGTGAGATATTTGATCAACCCGCAAACGCTTTTGAGAGGTCTCAGATGGGCAGAGATTTGCTGTTATCAAAATAGAAACCCGAGGAACAAAACTCCTTGTATCTATAATAATAACCTTTATGATGTTTCTTTTATTCAAAGAAAAACCGGCCTCTATTTGCTAGTAACGCTAAGATATTCCCAGACATCTGGGGATTTAAGTATTTCTAATTGTTTTTAAAACTAAGTAATTTCAATTTATTACTAATGAAGTCTAGTTAGTTGGTTTCTATTTATAGCTCTTTAAAATACTTTACACAGAAATGCAGTAGAATTCTTTAGTAAGCTTTGTTTTCAATGGATTTGTAATTTAAAAAAAATAACGTGAATATTGCAGATTTTCCACTTTGGATTTTTAAGAGACTATTAACTTTCCCACTAGAAACAGGGGACACCTTTGAGGTTTGAGGTTTGTGTGTAGACTTTCCGAACACAAAGCCCCACAGTAGGGCTTCGCTTAAGTGTATATTCCTTTTTAGACAGGCATTGTAAGCAAAAACACAAATGCATTGAAATGTTGAAGTTTGTCATGACTCTAGATTTGTATCCTCAGAATGAACTTCACTGCTTTGAATCCCTGCTGTAAGGGGTGGCGTTTAAACTTTTTCCCCAGTTGTAAATTTTCAGTGGAGAGTATGTGTGCTTCATCTACTGCTTCACTCCCCCAGATGCTCACACTGGTTGGCACTGGCTCAGGTGTAAGACCACAGACTGGAACTCAACTCATGTCACCCACTGCGGTGGCAGGACCCAACTATTTGAGTTGCTACCTGCTGTTTCTCAGCATTTCATCAACAGATAAGTGGACCAGAAGCTGAGGTGGGACTCAGCCAAAGCACCCCAAGTGGTACTCTGACTGCTGGAGCTAAGTGCACATCACAAGCAGTGGCATTCTGAAAGTTCTGAAGAAGTTTCAAAGGTGAAAGAGTGAGGATACCTTACCATAGAGTCTTTATAGTCTTTATAATCCTATATACTTTTTTAAAAAAGATTTATTAATTTTTATCACAAAGTCAGATGTACAGAGAGGAGGAGAGATAGAGAGGAAGATCTTCCTACTGGTGATTCACTCCCCAAGTGAGCGCAACGGCTGGTGCTGCGCTGATCCAGAGCCAGGAGCCAGGAACTTCATCCAGGTCTCCCACGCGGGTGCAGGGTCCCAAAGCATTGGGCCGTCCTTGACTGCTTTCCCAGGCCACAGGCAGGGAGCTGGATGGGAAGTGGAGCTGCCGGGACTAGAACCAGTGCCCATATATGATTCCAGTGTGTTCAAGGCCAGGACTTTAGCCACTGAGCCGCCGGGCCCAATCCTATATACTTATGAAATATGTGCAGGGAAGATGATTCTTACTGCTTTGGTCCTAATGACAACAAAGCCTCCTCTGGTTAACAAAATTCATATTTAAAAATATGTAATGAAAACAGCTGAGAAAAAAAAGGAGTTTGTCATGAATTAAAAGTCTAGAGTTTTTCAGAATTCACATTTCTGGAGATGGAAAACCTAGCAGCCAAAAATAAGTCAGAGTATGACAGTAATCTTCTGGAATTGAGGTGCTGTTATCATCCCGTTGTCCTCCATGGATAAACAGTACAAAGAGAGATGGATCAGTTCAGGGCTGGGGCCAGAACAACAAAGTCAGGTCTCGTTACAGACCCAGGAAACCTTTCCTTTTAGTACAAAAAATTAATTTTGTGCTAAAATCTTCACCACCTCAAAGCAGTATCTGAATGTAACCCCTCAAAGTGCTACTGGTAAAGAGAGAACATGAGCCTGAATTAATCCAGATTGCCACATGGAAAAGCCATTTGGGAGAGTATTTTGAAAGAAACAGATGGAAAGGAAAAAAAAGTCTTCTGAAAGCAATGTAAAATTTATATCATCCTCCATGAGCTTCCATGTGTCCCCATGTTAACATAATATATAATGTGTACTTGGACAATATAAATTAGGTAGTCCAGGGAGCTTATGTTCATTTTTTTTGGTCCATACTTGAACTCCTCTCCTTTGGCTAGACAGGGTCTAGACAACAACCAGATTGACCAGTAACAGTTCACTTGGTCCATTGTGGCTACTTAGAGATTCCTGATTTTCTCAGAAAAAAAATTATATTTATATCTTAATACCAACTTTACAATTGGTTCCAGACACATGAATGGTCTCTTCCTGTAGTGTGTTAGTTCTTGCCTCTCCACTTTTGCTTATAATGCTCATCTTAACTAGTAAGCTTTGTTTCCTTGAGTGATCTCCATTTTCTCTTCTCCAACTAAACAACAGAAGCAAAAGCATAAAAATATTCCACTCTTCAGGGAATCCCACATGACAGCGCACTCATACATCTGTATCCCCTGTGCATCCTGTGTGGATGGACATTCTGTGATGACCTGCTCAAGAAATATGTAAGCATTTTCCTTGGTGTTGTTCTTGTGTATCATCATCCCCACCTGCACATTAGAATCACTTACGAGTTTATATAAAAAAATAAATAATACTGGCATTTGAGTTTTTGGACCAAAAAAACAGAACTGTTGAATAGTAGGGACATTTGGCATGTGGTTAACTTGCTCTCCAACAAGGGGGAAAAAAGCCCTGATCTGTAGTTATTGGTCACTTTTCATAGTGTAAATACTTGCACTATAGTGGATTTCAGGCTACCTGACTTGATCTCAATGAATGTAGCATTTGAAAGAGATGATCTAAAAAGAGTTCTTAAGGCTGGCTCCAACACAGGCGCTGCATCCACAGGAACACCATCTTTAGGTTGTTCTGATGCACAGCCAGGGTTAAGAACCTCTGAATTAGGCTACACATTCCTCAGATGCACAAACTGTCTTGTCTTACGCATCTTTTCCTACAATACTAAGGGCAAAGACCGAATCAATGTTGGTAACAAACCAATCAGGTCATCAGCTCATGGTGCAATGGCAAACACTGAGATATCTTTTGACTCAAATACACAGAATATTCCTATCAAATCACCGTTCCTTGATTTGCTTACTAGTAAGGATGAGAAGCTAAACAGAGCTTTGGATCTTCTATTAAAATATTAAGTTTCTCATAATTTGTTTAGTACTGTTTACAAACAATTTATATCTTTTAAACTCTTGTTTTATTTGGAAAGTACAGTAACAGAGATGGAAGAACAGGGGAAAAGCTGGTTCACTCATTAAACAGCCTTGCAGGAACTATTGGGCTGGGTCAGGCCAGAGTCAGGAATTCCTCCTGTGATCCTCCATGGATGGCAGGGGTCCAATCATCGCACCATTTTCTGCTGCTTTCCTAGGCTCATTAGTAGGGTTCCGGATTGCAAGTGCAACAGCTGGGACGAGAATCAGGGCTTTGATGTGGGATGCCGGTGATGTTGCATCACATCGCTGGTCCCATACATGAGCATTTGGGGTGCTCCCTTACAACTCTTGGCCTTTAGGTGTGGTAACAACAGTGAAACTTATTTTTACCTTGGTAACTTTCTTTTTATTCCATTTACAGTACGTGTGTAACTAGCCAAGTACATACTCTTTGTACTCTCAAATGTGTTTAGAAGCTTCAGTTCTCTTCCAAGCAGCATTGTAAAAGAACAGTAGACATTTAAGCTTCCCGGATTGTGCCATGAACATCTTTCAAGGTCTCTGGCAAAAAGACTCTATGGATATTTCAAATTATGTAAAAATGATTTATAGGGGACTTGGTAGTTCTTGGCAATGTTCAGTGACTTTTTTTTCAGGCTCTGTGTAATTCGAACTAGACCTCCTGAGTGTCTAGTTAAATTCAAAAGGGAGGAGAATTTCAGGGCATTCCTACAACTTTTTAAAGATTCTTTGCCATAATTTTTAATTTATTCTTCACCTTTATTTTCTTCAAGATATACTTTCTCAATAAGGATGGCTTTTATGTTTCTGTATGTATCAGGACAAGGAATTTAGGCATATGCGATTGGAAAAGCAAAGTTGGTTCCTAATCTTGATGTTACGGAAGGCTTCAGAGACTGTGGCTTGATCATAGGCTTCAAAACTAGGATTACATAATTTCCCAGGGCTGCCATTGCTGCACAGAGTTTAAGCCGCCCTTTGTTATACCTGAATCTTGTATCAGAGCGATGATTCAAGTCCCAGCTACTCTGCTTCCAGCCTAGCTTCCTTCCAATGCTTCTAGAATGGCTGCAGATGACACACATGCTGAGGCCCCTGCCACGCACGTTGGGAGATGAGGATGCAGTTCGTGGGGGCTTCCAGGCTTTGAATTGGCCCAGCATTGGCTGTTACAGACATTTGGGAAGTGACTCAATGGACAGAAGACTGCAAGTCTGATCTAGCTTCTCTCTCCCCCATTTCCCCTGTCTTTCTCAGTCTGCCTTTTAAATAAATAAATAAGTAAATAAATCTTTAAAAATCTCCTTTGGCAGTTTTGGGATCACTCATACATCATAGAGTAATTCATTGAATATATATTTTGCAACTAACACATCCTGAATCAAGTAAAAAAAAAATACAGACAGATGGAAAATAAAATCAAAATCTAATTTAAAAAAAATCTTTCAATAACATGGTAGGAGTTAATACTTGCTTTTCTTTTGAGGACATTTAATTAAATAGATTTATTTTCAAGTTTTAAAAATGGTTTGTACACTGAATACCTTTTTTGATGATTTTATTTCTGACTTTGAAGGATACAGAAACTTTTCAAAATACTGCAGTGCTAACCAAATCAAAATTAGAAAAACGCCAGTCAATAGCTTAATTTGGAATTTCTCTCAAGATAATTTCACTCTAGTTTTTATATTAATCAGGAGGAGAGAAGACATGATTATTTCTTACCTGAGCAGGCTTCTTCTGAACAACTTGCTGTGGCTGAGGAAGAAAGAGAGAAGCGAATGTTACACTCTAAAAAAAAGGGGCTGAAACTCGCCTGCTAAGCAAAAGAGCAAGTGTAAAGTCTAAGTAGGTTAGCCAAATCTAGAGAATGTTACTCAAAATCTGTTAAAGTTATCTCAGTTGAAAGAAATCCCAGTTAGATTCTGAAATACACCCCAAATTATTCCAAAAAGAAAATTTCAGTCTGTCTACACTTTAAGAATGAAGAGTCTAATTTGCTAATTTATCCGTTATAAAAGCCTTACTGAGATTTCATTTACAAACCTTTTAATTCTCTCATTTAGCATATGACTGGCTAATCATTTATAAAAATATATATAATCCAAAAATATTTTAGTATATTCAGAGTTGTGCAGCCATCATCACAATTCAACTTCAAAACATCTTAATCTTCCCTATACCCCAACTTGCAATCATTTCCCATTTCCTTCCCCTGTCCCCAGTCAAGGTCCCTTCCCTGGTACCTAACTGACCAATGGTTCATTTTCTGTCTCTGTAACTTGCCTATTCTGGGCATTTCATGTGAGTTCAGTCATATAATATACAGTCTCTTGTATTTGGCTTCTTTCACTGATAGTGTATTTTAGAGTCATCTATGTTATAAAATCAGTAATGCAACTCTTTTTTTTTTTACATAAAACAATATTCCACTTATGGCTAGACCACATTGTATCTATCCATTCACCAGTTTAAGGATGTTTGAATTGTTTCTACCTTTTTTGCTATTGTGAATTATTATGAATAAGGCTACTAGGCACATTCACATACAAGTTTGAGTAAGGAAATGTTTTAATTTCTCTTGGATATCCACCTAGGGATGAAATTACTCATTGATATATTAACTATGTTTCACTTATATGCCAGTTTTTAAAAGTAGCTGCCTTATTTCACAGTCCCACTAGTGAGGTGTGAGATTTCAAGATGCTCCACATATATGCCAATGTTTGTTATTATTTGTGTTTTTTATTATGGACATCCCAATGTATATGAATTTGAATATCCAATCCAATTTGGGTATCACCTCATGACCAATGATGTTGAGTATCTTTCCATGTGCTTACGGGCCATTTGTTTAACCTTCCATAGGCAAATCTTTGCCAATTTAAAATATTGAGATTTTTCTGTCAAGATCTTATTTTAAAAGTCAGAGCTACAGAGAGGGCGAGCCAAAGAGATGTTCCATCTGCTCATTTCCCAGATGGCTACAACAGCCAGGACTGTGATAGATTGAAGTCAGGATCCTAGACTGGGTCTGGCATGGGTAGCACTGGCCTAAACTCTTGGGCCATCTTCTGCTGCTTTTCCCAGATCACTAGCAGGGAGGTGGATCAAAAGTGGCACAACTGAGACAGGAATTGGACCCATACAGGATTGTGCTGTCATATTCGGTGGCTTTACTTGCTATGCACCGTACTGGCCCCAAGTTTTCCTCCCATTAGTGAATTAAGAGGGCTCTTTTCATGCTTTGGACCCTAGTTCCTTATTAAATATATTACTTACAAATATTTTTCCTACTTTGTGGGTTTGCTCACATCACTGAAATTTGCAAATACACCTGAACCACTTGGCTGTAGCCAGTGACATGTTTTCCTGGTAACAATTATAAGAAACAAAATTGATGACCCCCTCTTCCATGCTCCAAATAAGAGAAGTCAGGGCAGATTCCATGTATCATGAGCTCTTATCCATTTTCTTTTTCTCAGAATTACTATATTTTGATACTGTCTTACATCACCTCCAAGTTTAAGATGGTACACAAAATTAGTAGGCGGTGTTTTTAGATAAACAAGATAACAAGAAAATAAATGGCAAGGTAATTTAGCTCATTACAAACGAATTTCTTCCTTCTGACTTTAAATCACAGTAGCGATGACATCATCACAAAAGCCCAGCTTTGAGGTATTTTCTCCAGGTGGAAGTGAACCAAGGACGATTAGGACTGCTTGCCTCATAGGACTCAGAATCGTGTGCGAAGACAGTATCTGTTTCAAATGGGGTCATTTGCAAGAACAGAATTACAGAATACTGTTCTTCCACTTTTTTTTTTTTTCCTGCCGCTTACACCTGTACACATGTTTACTCCCAAACCGTTTCAAATCCACACACATTCTTGCAGGCTGACTGGCTCCTCCGGCTCAGAAATCCCCCTCCTTTCTTGGCGGAGGCTCCTGCATTCATGAGGCTCCTGCACACTGCGGCTCAATGAAATCCTCTGAAAGGGCTGCCAGCTCACCCAATTTTCCATGAATTAGGTCCTGACACTTCAATGAGGGGGAAGACAATGCCTGAAACTCTGCCAGCCCTGGCTCCCGGCCTAGTTCGTGTCACCGAACTTCTACCAGCCACCCTTAGACACAGCACTTCAGACTTTTCAGACCACCAAACAAACAGACCCTTGAATACTTTCAATGCTGCTTGCGGTTATGGCTGCCAAGATGTTTTCCCAGCCTCTGGCACCCACTGGCTCCAGACTGTGCAGAGAAAGTTTTGTGCTGTTGTTATTTTGTTTTGTTTTTATTTTATGAATGGCTTTGGGAGAAAACGCAGACTGAAGCATAATACTACAGCCATTCACAAAAAAAAAAAAAAAAAAAAAGGAAAGGAAATAGACTTCTGTCTGGAAAGCTTTCTAGACACACCAGACTGCAAGTCTCTTATCTTCCAGGAGGCACCTCCTCACTTAGCACTTTACTTGGAAACCAGTTGCTCCTCAGAGTTTTGGCTTGAGGAACACAGGTGGCCGCTGTGGGTGTGTAAGGAAAAGGGGAAGATACCAACTGCGCATCCCTATCTTTAGTGCGGTTAACGTCACACGTTCACACACCTGAACACAAGACTCGTGTGCTGCACATGCGCTCCGTTTATAGAAGTCAAAATCCTTTATATTTTTAACATCTGCCCCTTTGTGACGGGGAGGCCTCACGTCTTGTTCTTTTCATTTTTCTCACAGGGAAACTAAAGTAAAGGGAATTTAGATAATCTCTCCGAGATCATTTTCTAAAACTAAAACAACCCAAGTCCACTAATTCTCTTAATCCTCCTTTTAATGCTCTGGGGAAACTCATTCTCTTCCTTAAAAGAAATAAAGAAAAAAAAAAAAAGGTCAAATCCAGACCAAGGAGGAGAAACTGCACTTCCTGGCCTCAGTCCCCACCTCCAGCAGCACCTTCCCTGAGCGTTCCCAGCTGCCCCTGCAGGGCCCAGGGGCGACTCTCCTCCCGTGTTGATGACAAGCGAATCTTCAGAGTATGAGAGCTGGGCCTTCAAGGTCCAGGGGCCTCGGCTGGACTGTTCTCTTCCTTATCGGTTTTGGGCGATGCAAGTGAGCCCCTTTCGAAAGTGTGGCTTTCAAGAAGCACTCCAGTAAGACAGACAGCAAAGTTTTTAGGTTGTTTTAGGTCATTTTGATGAATTCCAGTCTGTGCACATGATCACTTTATATATGTTGCATATTAGGCACACTGTGCAAAGCGCTCCTCGCGCAGGGGCCGTGCTAATCTTCTCTGTATCATTCCAATTTTAGTATATGTGCTGCCGAGGCAAGCACTGTGCAAAACTCTCAGTACACTGACATTTGAGTTTTATGTTAAAAGGCTCTGCCTGCCTTTCATGAGATGCTGGAATAAACTCCCTTGTTCATAGCTTTCTGACACTGTTACAACCTTAGTATTCCAGGAACCAGTGTCATGGCATCGCGGGTAAAGCCATCATTTGCAATGCCAGCACTGAAAACGGGCAGCAGTTTGTGTCATAGCTGCTCCACTTTTCAATTCGGCTCCCTGCTAATCATCAGGCAAAAGCAGCAGACAAAGCTCAATTATGTGAGCACCTACTATCTATGTGGGAGACCCAGATGATGCTCCTGGGTACTGGTGCAAGCCTGGTACAGCCTCACCCTGTGAGGAAAGAACCAGCAGAAAAGTAGTCTCTCTGTCTACCTATATATGTGTATATATGTGTGTATATATGTGTGTATATATGTGTGTATATATATATATAAAATTGACTCAATATATAAACATTATGACTCAGATAAATAAATATATCTCAAAAAAAGAACATCATTATTTCAGAGTGGCAAAATCTGTATTTGTTTCACTTTAAAAAATGCAATTTATGTTCCAGAGATTTTTAGCCCTATTTTACATGTGGAAGCAGAGCATTTCATAACACTCACCCAAGGCAATTTGCACTATTATGTTGATTCACATGAAATTGCATTTTGTAGGTTAAAACCAGTCAAATAACAGTAGTTTCTCAGCCAGAAATCAAGGTAACATGTTTCTAATCCAACCATATTTGTGTGTGTGTGTGTGTGTGTGTGTGTGTGTGATTTGTCTTGAGGCTTTGTTAGTCAACAGGTTTGTGTGCCATCTGTACACACAACCCCCTCTCCATTCCATGGCTCTGCTTTCTACTCCCCAGCCTGTGTGCTGACCCTTCCACTTACTTCGCCAGAGCCTAGAAGACTCAGTGGTGAAAAACAGGATTTGCCTAGATCAGGTGTCACATCCACACTTCTGGCTTATGCTGTACCTCTTTGTCCAAAGCACTCTGGCTGGCTTTGTGATCATCAGGCTAACTTCTCATACATACTCCAAGTTCATTTGAACTATATCTTCTTAGAGAAATTAATGTTGGAGTAAATTGCTTGTAATAATTCTCTATGGCTAGAAAGAGAAACTCTTTAGTTAAAACTCTGACTACTAATTAAATTTAGAATGAATGGAATGAATGGTTATAATCACCAATACAAGGAACGTTAGTACAAGATAGTCTAAATACAGTGTGGTCAAAACATACTTGATTGACCTCTGGAACGTATTTTGGTAAGCTTGAAACTGGAAGAATTAGTTTCAGGTCAAATGTAGTGAAAGAATATGATAATAAGACCAACTATAGCTATATAAAAATGGTATTCTTATTTATCCTCTTCTTGGCTTAGCAGTTTTCTTATTTTAGAGGCTTCCTCAGTTGAGATTAACCTTGTCCTCTAATCATGATACGCCTTGGTGAGGGGACAAAACATCCACCATGAGCAATTCAGTCACAATTTTCTTTAAACTTAGAAAAACCTGGGTTGGGTAATAGCTTCCACTCTGGTCCCATGTGCACCTACACACAGCTGTACAATGGGTGAACACAAAGAGCCACAGATACTTATAACTTCACAGTAACATCTGGCGTTTATAGTGCAAAAGAGATTTTACAGTTTTCTGTACAAAGAAGTGATTAATCCATGAGGAGTTTTGGTAAAACCTCTGGAATTTCTGCTTGGGATTGGGGAGTGGAGAAGTGTCCTTTATTTTTTGTACTATGTAGCTTTACTTTTAGAGGTTTATGCAAATGACAAATGTAAGTATCCTTTCAAAAGCACTTATTGGATTATTAGAGCAAAATGCGCTCATGACTGCAGGTCTCCTTTCACCGGGGGATGAAGACAGTCAGTCTCATTACTGTAGATCATCAGCTTGTGTAGGCATGCGCTCTTCCAGATGTACAAATTTAGAACTATTTTTTGGAGCCCAGAGTCTGATGAGGGAAATAAATGAGAAAGTAGACACCAGAGAACAATGTGCACTTAAAAATGTATTCATTTTGAAAGGCAGAGTTCCAGAGAGAGGAGGCGAGCTAGACAGAGAATTTTTCATCCACTGGTTCATTGCTTAAATGGCTGCAATGACCAGGGCTGGGCCAGGCTGAAACTACAAGCCAGGATCTTTCAGGTCTCCACGTGGGTGCAGGGGCGCAGCACTTGAGCCATCCTCTGCTGCATTCCCAGAACCTTACTCGGGAGATGGATAGTTAGTTGAATGGCTGGGACTTGAACTCCGTCCATGAGGGATGTCAGAGTCACAGGCAAAGGCTTAGGCTATGTCACACGGATGGCCCCTCCAGTATATTCTTAAGTATAGAAAGGTATGATCATCAAATAGAGAGAGTAATAATGAAAGGAAAGCAGAAAGAGATGACCACAGTCAATCCTGCATTCCTGGGTTCCGCATCCACGAATTCAATCAGCCATAGACCACAAATATCCCAAAAAGAAAACTGTGCCCGTGTTGAACATGGACAGACTTGTTTTTCTTATTAGCAACCCCTCACCAATAAAATGTAACAATTATATAAGTAGTCTGGAGATGATTTCAACAATGTGAGAGGATGTGCATAATCACATGCAAACACCATGCCTTTTTATAGAAACGCCTTGAGCAAACAAGGATTTGGGTATCTGCAGGGGTTCCTGGGACCCAGACCCTTTGGACACTCATGAACAGGAACAATTGTACTCTCCTTTTACATGGAAAATAAGAAAGCAGAGTAAGTTCATTAAAAAATATAAGAAATTTGAAGGTGATATTCTTACAAATATTACTTCCACACAATGAAATACGGATTAAGAAAGAAACTTATTCACCGTGGAAAGTTAAAGCGATGGGAAATAAGGCTAAGCTATGCTACAGTATCTCCACGTGTCAGAGAGGGAGCAGTGCAAGGCATTTTTGTTTTACAGAGGAGCCGATGCTCAGAGGAACGCAAAGCAGGCAGGCACGAAGTCACACTGAGGTGGGGGAAGAAATATGTGGCTTAAAAGTCAGCTTCACGACTCAATTTTTACGATTTTCTAAGATTTAAGAGAGAAAAAACTCACCCTCCGGCCAAAGCATCTGAATGAAAATTGCAAGATGGATGTCATTTCATAGAAAAAGAATCAATTGTTTCAGTTCTATTTCCTTATCCCACAGGATTCTAAGAAATGCTGTATTTATGTATTTTAAGGGTTTCGATTCTTTACTCTGTACATATTTATTTTTCTGTGTATATAACCATTTACAATGCTAGGTCCTTTTGCATGCATACATGCTTACCAGAGCCAAAGGAATATGCCTAAATATTTGAAACATCATGCTGCTGGGTTTTAGGAAATCAAACACATATGCATAGATGTTGTAGCCTCAGTTAAAACTTCAGCTAATGTTGCATTTGACCAGACAGAATCATTAATACTCAATATCAGGGGAAAAAGAGTTATCCAGGGAATAATGGAAGTGAAATTGGATGCTATATATGAAATACACAATAATTAATTTCCACATTTTTTCTTATTTTAATTTTGCTGGTGAAACACTTGTGCAACATTTTAAGGTACAAATCTTCTCAACAGTCAGAAGCTGCCTACATTAAGATGTACAAAGACTTAAACCATATATACACAATTTTGTATTCAACATATATTTCCTTATGTGCTTATATTAGAAAAGTGCGGTTTTGAGGTGCCAGTTATTTTTTTTAAAAGAGGTTTTGAGTCAATACTCATAACACTTCTTTGGTTCTAAGAACATTTGTTCAGGTCTTAGACTAAACCATTTGAAAACGGTTTCACAAAATGAGTTTTGTTCAGAAGCCATTATAGTAAAACATGGAACCTGGGTTTAGAGTGCCGATTTATGTTTTTAGGCATTTCCTTTCCTTAAGGAAAAAGCCAGTATATTTATTTGTAATCTCTGATGTTCTCAAGGACTACAAAGAGATAGTTTATGAGTTGAGAGTTCTGTGATACTTAACTGAGTCATCTCTCTCCTAGCATCCTAATTTAGCACTATTTTTTTGGCATTAGTTTAGGGCTGACTTTAGCAGTTGAGTTGTTTTCCTTGGAGGAAGCTTAATATTCAATCCGAGAAATGTTAACTATTCCTGAACATAAGCTTATACACTACAACTTTTTAAACAGTCATAGAAGGGAGTTCTCTTTCTTCCACATTCTCACACGTCCACGTTGGCTCCAGAACCCAGGTCTTTCCAGGAGATACTTTCTCCCCGGCTCTACCTTCAAGGTTTTCTCTGTATTAGTACACCTTTTCCTGGAACCCACTCCTTCCTTATGGAACCAAATACTTCACTGGTCTTGTCTCTCAAATCTACTCAGTTTCAAATCCAAGTGGAATGTCACGAAACCCCCTGAACTACCTAACTCAGCTCCACTTTTCTAAGGTGATGACCCTTAGATCAATATTCTCTTATCTTGTAAACTATACATTTTTGTCTAGAATTGTTTAGAATAGTCTAGAAATGTCTCTAAATGTGATTCATGAGCCAACACTCTGCAGGGACCATTCAGGATGAGGCAGCAAAGGCTCTTTATGTTTGTATTGATTGTGTGATAATAATTTACAGTGTATAGAGTGATTTTATGTGCACTGCATGATTTAATCCTCACAGCAGTCAGCAGATATTTTGTCATCTTTTAAAACATTTCTGTACTCATGTAAAGAATTCTTATCGTATGAATTCATCAAACTAGCTCATCAAAAGATGAATATAATGAGGGACTAAACTTTTCAACTTTAAATTTACTTGTTTTATTTATTTGAAGTAAGTGTTTGTGTGTGTGTATGAAAGAGAGAGATTAAGAGAGTGAGAGAATGATTCTTCCATCCATTCTTTCATTCCATTCATTCATTTACATTCCAAATGCCTGTAGCAGCTGGGGCTGGACCCAGCTGGAAGATGGGAAGTCAACTTAAGTCTTGGAAGTGGTGGCTGGCT